TCCAAGCATACGCTGATGAAGACGAGAGTCAGCTCCTGTGCCGCACACAGTATGCTTTATCTTTATAAGGGAGGAGTCAGAAGGAAATGCTTTTTGAAAGACTGCGATAGGATGTGTGTGTGTGTGTGCAAATGTGCATGTCTTGGGATCTTGGCGCTTGCCAAGGGAAGAAGGACCGAACACATCTCATCGCGAGACATGACCACTTCCCCGCCGCCCGCCGCTCCGTCACCGTGGTGACGAGTTCGTGGTCCGACGGAAGTTGTGGTCCACTAGCCATCTGCCTTCCGGAGAGCTTTATGCAGCCTGCTGAAATGCGGCGTTTCAACGAAGCGCACACTGGGCAGTGCTTTCTGTTCTCAAGTGAGCAACGCTCACATTTCATGACAGGGGAGACATACGTGGAACTTTGGTTGGCATTCAGTGAGACTTGTTGTGATATGTTTGTTTATATACTTTACTTTAAGTTCTTTGGGACTGACACTTGCAGGCTTCTGCTGAGACTGAGAGTTGTTGCAAGCCACCTGAGGTTCTGCTGAAAGGCTTGGTGGGCCCCGCATTCGAGCTTCAGCGGCGCCGCCACAATCTCTCTGATGGCGTGGAAGGATTGATCCTGGCAGACGGGTGGTCCGGATTCCACAGCTACAAGAGCGGCTTGGACCTGGCCCGCAATGCATGGTCCCAGGCCTGCCGCGTCAGGATGGCTGACATTCAGCCAGGCGGGTTCTCTGCGAACGCTCAACCGGTGGACCAAATCCACCACTTGTTCAGAGCCCGTCTGGACTTAGTGGACAGTGCCGATGCCTCCTGCACCGCGAACCTCCGCGCACGTGAAGACTACCACCAGCTGGCAGTGAGGCCGAACGGGCAACTGAGTCGCACCAAGGCTCGCAACAACACCCTGCCAGAGCGCACGCTGCATGCGTGGATCTCCATGCAGCTTGCGCTCATTTGTACCTATTTCAAATGTTTTCTGTGGGTTACTAGTTCCTGATGTACAGGGTCCTTTGTCATGTGTGCATTGGCCACAACTTTCGGGGATCCATGGTCTTTCAGTCTTTCATGTGAGCTGCCTGCATCAGAATGCCACTCAGGCCTCGAAAAGCATTTGTTGCGGCGTGGGTGGCGTGCGGGTACTTCAGCCAGGCCCACTTCCCTGCTGAAGTTGGAATCACCCAAGAGGAAGCGATGCGGCTCTTGGACGGCACGGGAATGCTGCGTGCAATGGGGGTGCCTGCAACAGCTCCGCCGCTTGAAAGCGCTGTGCCCAATAGGCGGGTGGGCAAAGTCCTATGTCATCAGTCGTTTTTTGTTTCTTTGCGTTAGTCCGTGGAAATACATTGTTGGTGATTGCCATATATATATATACCGCTGCCAGCGGCTGCCAGGCTACACTGGGCTGTGGAGAACGACGGGCATCTGGCGGTGATGCCGCCAAGTATCGGCGACCACGTCGAACGGCTGATATGCCAACACAGGAGAGACCGCAGAGTGGCTTTGGCAGACATACGCAAACTGTTCAAGTGTTTTTTTCAGCGCGGCGCTATTGCCATTGAAAAGTCATCTCTCAGACATTGCGGGTTTTCGATGAAGCTCAGGTCCTCTTCGAGCACCAGCCGGCAAATTGGATGCCGAAGTTGCTTCTCGGCGCTGCTGAGTAATTTTGCTTGGCTGTCCTTCATAAACCACCGATTTGCGCGGATAATTGTGTTGTATGCCTTTTCTGGTTCAGCCTCAAGCCATTTGAGGAACGATGTGAATGACCGCAAAATGGCCTTGGTCTTCAACAAGGCCAAGGCGCAGATGGTGTCAGCGCAGTGGCTGAAGAAGCACACAACCCTTGTCGGGGGTCAGCTCGAGATCCAGCCACCAGCTGGGCGCAGTTGCGAAATCCTGCGTCTGCAGTTTCGGTTGCTCAACCATGCGGATCCCGCGGGGGATGGTGAGTACTGGATCTCCGGAAGGAACTACGATGCCAGACGCATCCGCTGTGTGAACGCGAACGCCAAAGTGGTTGGCCTGGATGCGCTTCGGCAAGTCTACGAAGGAGGGTCCCATGTCATGTTGTTAGTTGATGGCTTTGAATAGTGCAACATGGCGGGGTCAATCGGTTGTGCAGTAATTACAGTGTTGGAACGTTCGTGGCACATGACCTAGGACCTAGGAGCCACAGAGCCGACAAACTGTTGATAACCCCTCCCTTGGTAGATATCAACTGGTTTCCCTGCAGGAGACTCTGACACAGAAGGAGAGGCTTCTGGAGGTGACGAGCCGATCCTGCCGCCCCCGGATGCAGCTCCAGCCCATCATGAAGACCATCATGAAGATGCTGGCAGCAGCATGTCATCAGCTGACTCAGATGTGGATGTGGACAAAGAAAGCAGCGGCGTCAGCGACGTCAGTGATATGGACCTGAGTGACGCTGAAAGTGTTCCAGACGCTCCTGTGGATGACACTCCTGCGGGTGCTGCAGGTGCTCCTTCGCTACTGCCGCGCACAAAGCGATTCCACCTGAGCGAGGAGTGGATGACGCTGAGCTCCATGGGGCTCACACACCTTCCCCTTTGCACTGGTGCTGGTGTGAACAGACACCCGGCAAAGACTTTTTGGTCAGCCCGCTACCGGGACGAGAGCACAAAGTGCTGCTCATATGGTGCCGGAAGAACGGCCGTGGCGGCGCTGGCGAAGTGCATCAGGTACGTCTTGAAAATGCACATCAAGGCAAATCCTGCGGCTGAGCCACTTTGGCAAGAGCAAATCAAAGCTCTTGCGACAGTAATCCAGCAACAGTGATGAGAAGTAGAGAAGTAGATCTATATATATATACAATGACAGGTTAATGCTCATGTAATGACACCAAGGTCCTAGGTCATCTCTGTTGCAGCACGCGACGTTCTGTCTTCTGGAGTTTGTAACATGCACACAAACTCCAAACTTTGCTCGAAGCTAGATTTACCTAGCATGAGGGCGGGCGAAGTGATGACAGTGACGGAGCCTTTGGTTTCTGCTCGGGCTAGATTTACCTAGCATGAGGGCGAGCGTAGTCACACGCATGCTGCCCGCCGAGGGCAAAAAGAGTCAGCCAGCTCTGGGAAGGGGAACTTTGACAAAGGTTTCTTTTAGTTGGACCTCCAGCAGTTGATTTTGGGACTTCGACCAATGGTGGAGCAGGATCGCTTTTTCGTATACTTGTTTTGTTGTTTACGTTGCAGCTTTGGAACACCCTTCAAAGAACACGTTCGCAGAACCTTTCCCAACAAACTTGTTTTCTCATCAGGGTTTCGAAGCTTCATGCCCCCCCCAAAACACGTTCACCTCGGGAAACCCTATCTCTCCTCTTCTTGCGTTGGCACTGACCCGAAGGTCCTATGTCACGTGGCCCCATTCTGGCTTATTTTGGGTGCGCAGGGTACTAAGTCACCTCAAGGTAGTATAATCTAATCTAATCTAGTCTATCTATCTATCTATCAAGCAAATATCATCTAGTCTGAACTAACCCAATCTAGTCTAATCTATCTATGTATCTATGTAACTGTTCATCTATGTATCGATGTATCGATTTATCTATTTTTCTATCTATCGAATCGATCTAGCTATCTTTCTATCCATCCATCTATCTATCTACCCACCTAGCTAACGACTCAGATATCTATCTCTCTATGTATCCATCTATCTACATATCTATCTGTCGATATTGTCCCTCTTTCTTTTTTTTGTTTGCTTCCTTCCTTTCTTTCATGCGTCCTTTGTTTCTTTCTTTCGACGTATCTCTCTATATCTCTCTCTCTCTCTCTCTCTCTGCTCTCTCTGCTCTCTCTCTCTCTCTCTCTCTCTCTCTCTCTCTCTCTCTCTCTCTCTCTCTCTCTCTCTCTCTCTCTCTCTCTCTCTCTCTCTCTCTCTCTCTCTCTCTCTCTCTCTCTCTCTCTCTCTCTCTCTCTCTCTCTCTCTCTCTCTCACCATCTATCTGGATTTGCTGCGAAAGTGCTGCGCCTGCCACGAAATCTGTGCTTGACCTTGCGAAATGCCGGCGCAGCACTTTTGCAAGGTCAGTTAGCCTCCGTGCCAATGGGCCCAGCTCCCAGGATGCTTCAAGCGTCGCGGTCATCGAGATGCCAAAGCATTTTTTTAACATGTCCATTGCCCCGCCACACACATGGCGTCACAGGGAAGCTTCTTCTAAACTTCCTTTCACAACTACCTACTGCTACTGCTACTGCTACTGCTACTGCTACTGCTACTGCTACTGCTACTGCTACTGCTACTGCTACTGCTACTGCTACTGCTACTCCTCACGCGCTCAGATTTCCTCGCGCATGCCAGCGTTTCAGCACCCGCGCCTGATATCGATCGGTCTGCCCTTGGAACATCGGCAAGCCTTCGCCGATGCGCACAACTGCGCATGGTGCGGCTTTTCAATGGGTCACTTTGGGACTAGCCCAGGCTCAGCCAGAAGGTGAGAAGTGAAGCTCTCCACACCCCAAAGTGAGGGTTTGAGGGGACCAAACCGGGTTTGAGGGCAAGTTAAACCCTAAACCTGAAGCCTAAACGGGGGCTTGAGGGCAAGTGCAACCCACAAAACCTGAACCCTAAAAGGGTTTGAGGGCACCCCAAAAGGCTTAAGGGCAAGTTAAAACCAAGACTAAACCCTAGACGGAAAAGGGCAAGTAAAACCCTCAACCTGAACCCAAAATGGGGCAAGTTAAGCCGAAGGCGGGAAAGAGACCAGAAAGGGCAACAAAGTGGTTCTGGGCGGGTACTACTACTACTGCTGCTACTGCTACTGCTACTGCTACTGCTACTACTACTGCTACTGCTACTGCTACTACTACTGCTACTGCTACTGCCACTACGACTACTGCTATGACTACTACTATTTTCACCCGCACTGCAACGAACACGACCAAAATTGCGGCTTCCATACAGCATGGCAACAGCACGACACGATTTTTGGATGCTGAATGAACTTTTTGGGTTTTGGAAGATTGGCTGTCCAACTCCAGGACCACGGTGGTGTTTTCATGTTTGGCTACATCTTGCTTTTTCTGTTTGTTACCATCGGGATCTTCAATCTGATCATGGCAGTGTTTATCGATAACGTCGCGGACGGCAGCACGAAGAAGCGGCAGCGCGAACTCGGGGAGAACGCGCCCCGCACAGAATGGGTCTTAGCCAGCTCCTTGCGGCAAATCATCATGACCAATGTGCTGCGCAAGGAGACCCAGCACCTGCCAGATGATGAAAGGACACAGGCGGAACCAGAGCTGGCCAAAAGTAATTTTGGTGGATGAGCAAAAAAACCCTATGAGTACTTGGCTATACCACCTTCCAACTGGTGCCAGATTTTGTCCGTCGACGGTACGTCAGTATCTTTGTGTCAAATCACAGGTTTTAGGACATGAGGATGACCCCCGCATAATTTTCCTGCAATGACCATGTCCATTTGGGACCACATATTCGGATTTCTCCTGTTGCTCAGGTGCTGAAGGAGAAGATTGAAGCTCTTCGAGAGAGGTATGGTTACAAACCCCACTCGAACCAGGAATATCAAGAGCTTGCCGATGGAATTCGAGAGGACATGTCAGAAAGTGGTGTGGTTGTCACGAGGGAAGACTTCAACGGATGGCTCACCAGCGAGAAGGAGTTGATTTCAAAGATGGATGATGCCGAAATCGACCTGTCATGCAACATGGCTGGTCTTCCGGTTGTTTGGAGAGGTGGATTGCCACTCCAGTCAAAATGTGCAAATCCAGCCACTTGCAATGGCTGCAAACAGTTAATTTTCCCATCAGGAGGCTCCCGATTTGAGCAGTCTCAGAAAGTTGTCCACTACCCCAAAGCCACTGCTAATTACACCAAATCGGGTATTTGTGAATATCTATACACAAAAAAAAAGATCCTATGTCTATGTTTTATACACCTTTATAATATAGAAACATATATGAAACAAGGCTAGCGGTTGAAATCCCACATTTTCCCTTATCTAGTTGGAGTGGTGCAGGTAAGTATGACCTCTTCGATGTCCTCGATGCGGATCTCAGCGGTGAGCTTGACTTCGATGAGATGGTGGATGGCCTTATCAAGTGCCGAGGCCCTGTGTCCAAAACCGAACCTCGCCATATCCAGCCCTTGGGTTCAGAGTTAGCGAATCAGGAGACGAGTCCAGTGTTTGTTTTTGTTTTGTCACCTCACGATTGGTTTGTGTTTTTTTCATGTGTTTTTCTGTAGTGCGTCCAAAAAGGGAGCACCTTTTATTTCCGGGTCGTTGCAATTGAGGACATCATCGCCATTAGGCTGAAGACTGTGTTGTTGGTTCGCATGATGAACGGCATATGTGAAAAGCTCGGAATTCAACCCGGTTGAATATCTTAGGCGCCCCCATGCCCCTGCCCTTGCCAAAGGCAAGTGGCCGTGCATGGGCAGACTTGCAAGAGAGAGAGGTTTTTGTCATGCAGGACTGAGATTAAAGGCGGTTAAAACAACATTTTACGGCGCGGTGAACTGTTGTGATTGTTTGCCTAGCAAACCAATTCGGAGGCAATCACATGGCACCAGCCATCTCTAAACAACAGACGCAGGTGTGTGATGTGTTGTTTGTTGTGTGAGAGCATGCGTATGTGTGTGTGTGTCTGTTTGCCTGCGCGTGTATGTTATGCTATTTGATTATTTCATTGATTCTAGCAATTGGTTCTATTTGATTGATTTAAACAATTGGTTCTTATATTACATTATTAATTTGATAGAAACAATACAAAAACTAAATTAATTATAATTATTGAATCGAATAATAATATATTAATTGGATAAATTATTATTTTTATTTATATATATATAAATTATTAAGAAAAAATGAATATATATATATATATGGATATATATATATGGGAATGAAATAGGAAGGAATGCAAAAATGAAATAGGAAAATATTTGTTTGTAAGCCGTTATAGCGGTATTCCGGCCGAATTGATTTGGAAAGTCTCGAAATTTTGCCGAAGTTTGGTTGGTTTTTATTAATTTTGTTTAGAATTTTTATATATATATTTGTTTTTTTTCCTTTTTCTTTATATGTTTTTTTCCCTTCTTTTTTTTTTCTCTTTTTATTTTTCCCCCCTTTTTCTTTGAAAGAAAGAAAGAGGGAAAACAAAAAGGAATTTGATTTATCTCTTTGTGGTGTTGTTTTATCGCTTATAGGATGAGGGTTAGCTTGCTTGATTTTTCCCGGGGTCGGAGGCATTTTTGGGGAATTATTGCTTTTCGTTAGTAGTTCCTCCTGATATGGTCTTTTTTTTTCCTCTTTTTTTGTTTTTCTTTTGTTTTTTTTTTTATTTATTTTTTATTGGTATTGATTGAGTTTTTTTTAGTTTTATATAATTTAGGTTTAGATTGTGTGTTAAATTTATTGAAATTATGTATTTAATTGTATATATATATATATATTTATTGTTTATTAAAATAATTTTGAATAATAATAGATTTTAATTAAATTTTATTGAGTTTAATATAAATATATTAATGGTTAACATATACATGTTATATATATATATATTATATAAAACTTAATAATTATAAATATTTTATTTTATAAACCATATATATTATTTAAATTATAAATGTTTACTTAAATTTATAGAATTTATATAATATAAAAACAATTAATTTTATTGAAATTTTATTATATATGTTTTTTGAATATATATTTTTTTTTAATATATTATTATGGAAATTATATAATATATGTTTGTTTCTTTATAAAAACATATGTTTTAAATAAAATATATATATTAATTATAAATTTATATATATATATTAATATTGTTTGTTTTTCAAAATATATTTATATATAATTTTAAGTATTATTTTAATTAATTGTTTCGTTTCGAGCAATTCCCACCCTCCGCGTTCACGAGCTTACGATTATGAACACGGTTATATGAATTTAGAAAGGTTTTCGAATGACTTGGGGCCTATAACTGCTTAACAAGCTTTGCGTTAAGAGCCTATTTACGAGTTGAACTCAAGAATTCAATTATCGTTTCCGTTAACAAAAGCCAAACCCCCTTCCAAAAAGAAACCCGACGGGGGATTAAACGAAGCTTATTCCAACCCAGAGCAACACAAAAACATCAACCTTTCCGAGCCTGAGGGTATACTCAAAACACGAAGGCACTAACATAAAATACAAGCCCAACTGTGCGCCGAGCGGGATATTATGCAAAACCAGATTAACAAACTCCTCTGACGGGATGCATTTGGCGGATTGTTCTAGTGGGATTATCGGCGGGATCCATTAGCGAGCAATTCTGACGGGATATTAGGCGAGATCCATTGGCCAATTGCTCTAGCGAGATACTCGGCGGGATTTATTAGCAAGCTTCTCTGGCGGAATATTCGACGGGATCCATTACCGATTGCTGTAGTGGGATACTCGGCGGCATCGATTAACGAACAATTCTAATGGGATATTCGACAGAATTCATTATTAAATAATTTTAATGGGATATTTAATGGGATTGATTTAGTGAACGAGAAACTAAATCCATTTGGTAAATTGCTATAATAAATATTGAGTAGGATCCATTAGCGAAATACAATAATATCAATTAATGAATTATTTTAATAAAATATTCAATAATTTTATAATATTAAAAACAATTATAAATACAAAATTAATAACATAAATAAAGTATTCGAACATAATCTCAATTTAGGTATTAATTAAATCATCCAGAGGAGTTTATATAAATAATAGGTATATATCAATATATATCCATCTAGGGAAATCCCCAGAATTCCTAATACCTAACAACAAGTTGTTTTCGAATATTTTCTATTTAAACAACTCATAAGACAAAAACCAATATACATCCGAATTCAATTCAACCCTAAAGTAGTATTAAGCATATCCGGGCATTCTCGCCTCAAACAAATAAATAAGAGACGGTATTTCTTCCTACCTCTATAAAATTCCTTAAAAGACCCATTTTACCAAAATAAAAAGATACCGTCATTTACAAAATCATATTCAAATATATAATTTATATATATATATTTTTTAAAATCAATATAATATTTCTATGTTTTACAAATTATTTTAATTATATATAAATATATCAATATAATATATTAATAATTAAAATAATCAATTTTAATTAAATCTATTTAATATTATTTGTTTGTAATATATATATATATCAATTTGTATAATTCAATAATTTATATATAAACAATACAATAACATAAATATATAATATATTAAAAAAACATCAATAAAACAACATACAAAAAATCACAAAAACAACAAAACAACCAAAAAAAGAAAAATAAACACAAAAAAAAACAAAAAAAAGAAATAACAAATAAAACAAATCAATATATATATATAAAATGCAAGAAGAAAAACAAAAAAAGAAAGAGAAAAACAACAAAAAACAATAAAACATAGTTTTATTTTATTTTTTAAATAAACAAAAGAAAAAAATACAAAGAAAGAAGAAAAAAAAAAAAACGAAAAAAGAGAAACAGAGAAAGAGGAAAACAAGCAAAGAATTAAAGAGCGTAAAAGGATAAAAGGGAAAGAGTTAAAGAGAAAAAGAGGGAAATATCCCGGAAATTTATTTCATTATTTTTTTCGGTAAGCCGCCAAAATCGGAATAAACTTGTAGGGGTAATATCTAAAGTCTTAAGAACCGGGTCACCGGAAGCGACCCACAGTCCAAGCGAAAATTTAATCCTCCGAGATTTCGGAAACTTCGCAGGAGCTCGCGCCACGGAGAAAAGACTGGGACGGGCAATCTGTCCCGATCTTTTGCTTGGCGTCGGTCTCGAGGTAGTCCACCTCACCACCCGCGCCAACCTTGCCGCGAACTTGTCGCCGGACCTCGCCACGCACGTTCTTCTAGAATCTCCGCTATGCCTGCCAAGCGCAGTCTTCACTGTGCTTGGCCACGTAGGTGTCCCTTTCACGCACACCGCCAGGGAGTCGCCCCCCAGTCATCCGCTTTACGTCCGCATAGATGTCCCCCACCTCCAGAACCGTGTCATAGATGTCTCGGTCTGGCGTCACCACCGAGCAGCGGTTGCCCTCATGGCAGATCAACACGGCATGCCCATGGAGAAGATTGGGGTCATCCTTGAAGCGCACGAGCACGCGCTCTTGCTGCAGCCACTTCTTCGGGGACCTCGCTACTGCTGTCATTTTTGCCCTCCACACGCATCTGGATGCCAAGCAGCTGGCAGCGCCCACGCTGCCTCTACCACAGGGCGCGGTCGTGGACTCTTCGAGCCACCTCGCTGTCCAAGGTAGTAGCCCACAAAAGCCCCCAGCCCAACACTCAGACCGCCTGATCTCCCACCACAACCACCAGCCCAGCTCGTGCGTGACCTCCTTGATCACCACTCGCCAGTTCACCATGGAAGGAACAAAATGCTAAGAACTCGAAAAGTTCTATAGCCAAAAAAACAATATTTCTGGCAAATCACGGCATGCCTCACTATATAATATAATATAAATCCGTTCTATCAACCAATAAACATTCCATAATCAATCAATATAATAACTCCCCCCCAAAACAAAACAAAAACATATAATTCGTGTATATAATATATCCAAGTTGATATCTATTTTGTGAGGGTTCTCGTGTCCGGTTGGCACGAGCCCCTGGTGGCACCATCTCATCCATGGAATGATGTTTGAAGCCTCGGCCGAGGAAACCCAAATCACAGGTCAAAAGAAACGATGTGGTTTAGATTTGACCTGTGATCTAACCGACCAATCCAGGCTGCCAAAACACAGGTTTGGAAACCCAAGGCTTCGAAGATCTCTTCTCAGGCACTGCAATTCACCCTCCAAAGCACAAAAACTCCAGCAGCCGTCCGCTGTCGACAGCTTTGGCTTCTTTCCCTTCCTTTACCCTGGAGGTTTTCCTATTGAAGGGACCCCTCACATGCCATGGCAATCCGGGATGGAGGGTTCTTGCAAATTGCAACTCATCACCCTTGGCCATAGCCATCTCCCTCTAAAACCAGAAATACAGCCTTTGAATGGGCAAACAACATCAACAATAATGAAACCCTATGAAACAAAACAGCACTGTTAACACAAACTTGAATCATATTCTGATACACCAAGCCCAGGTGGTTAGACGACCGTGGGTATGTTTTTTCCATCAGTCCCTGACTGAGGTCGGCGCGGCGGAAGCGCTGCAGCCGTTCTTCGGCTGTCTCCGTTGATGGCTCGCAGGCTGCTTTGGCTGCAAGCCTCAAACGAACGCGTTCCATGGGTCTCGTCTTTGGGGAGGTGTTGAGGTTTAGGGTACGGTGTTCTGGGTATTTCGGGTTCAGGGGCTTGGGAACTGTGTTTTGTT